AGAAGGTTTCATATCAACTTCCAAAGAGAAAACAAATTTTGATCCCATAAAATGAAACTTTGAAAACACAACTCCATAGGCCTACTTTCAGATCACTCTCACTAATGTAGAACAATGCACAACTCAGATCATTAGGGCTTCACCGTAGGCTAAGATATGGGTTATGAAAGACATAAAGGATTCAAGCAATTAAGAGGAAAAACTTACAATTCAAAGAAACACAATCACTCAAAACAAACTTACCATCTCAAACCCGAAACCTTTATTTTTTCTTTATTGCATCCTCTCCCACGCACAATTGAATCTATACCCTTTTCAAGCTTCCTTATTTTTTTTTCTTTTTTTTTCTCTCTTTTTTTTTCCATTATTTTTTTTAAACACATAAAGTGGCATTGTAGGAACCAAGATTAAAAACCTTCCAACCTAACTACTGAACGTAAATAGGGTAAGCAAGGTCGATCCCACGAAGAGTGTCTAGCCAAATTTTCGATGATGTGAACAAGGCTGGGGGGGGGGGGGGGGGGTTTGGTAAAACAAGAAAACAATCTTAGCAAAAATCAAACAAAACAAACAAAAAAAAAACAATTCAAATCGAAATCAATTATATAACGAAAATGGTCTCAGTCAACATCCATCATCAGAATCTTACAACTGATCATTGATGCAAAATTAATCATCGTACCTGAATATCACATTGGAAACTATTTCCTATCTCTCCTTAATTTTAATTAATTAGAAACAAGCAATCTTATTAATCTTACCACTAAACAACCCTAGACAAGCGCTCAAGATTTAATCTAGTGGTAGCCTTAAGAATTAGAGAAATCGATGAAGCTAAACAACTCAAACTCAAGCGGTTGTATTAATTTAGTTGAGTGTTTCTTAAGTTACTATTCCTGACCAGTAAAATTTTACCTAAGTGTTTCACAAGTTAGAGGGATCAAACAATTACGGATTTGATATCTAACTTAGCAGTAGATTGCAACAATTAATAAACTAGTAGGCTTTCTAGTAATTAAACGAAACAATCATAAAATTAGGTATAGAAAAACATCCAATACTCAAACACGAAAATTGAATAGTAAGAAAAATAGATTAGATCTCACAGTTTATTGATTTCAAGGCCTCCGTTTCCTTCGACCAAGTTATAAAAGTTTAGCTGCTCATGGCCATAAACAAAACTCAAAGAGAAAATTTGCAGAGAAGAGAAAAGAGAGGCGTGGTCCCCTGCCCTAATCTGATCTCTCCCTTAAAAATACCCAATTCGAATTCTAATCCTACTCAATCTCCTAAAAATATTCTAATATCCTAAAAAATAACACTTATCCTAATCTGATTAATCAAAAATAAAATAAAGTCATAATAAAATAGGAAAGTGGTGTGTCCAGCTGTAATTTTCTGCAATAGGTCTTCAAATCTTCCAATAAAAATCCGCCTATTTGAATTGCATGACAAGGCAGAATGTTCCAGAACGTCTAGTGCAGATGCATCAACTTCAAGCTCAATTACAACCTTGATGCAGCGAGTATCTCTCCAAACTCAAAACATTAAATTGTAGATATCTTTCTTAGTGTTCCACAGCATTTTGAATCATCTCAATCAGAGCTTGGATGAGAGAGTTATGCCCAGATTACGAAACAATATCGAAACTGTCCGAATTCACTTAATTAATTATGTTTTGCAATTAACGCCTCCATTTGCATCCTAAATCAAAATAGAATAATAATGAGTACATTTAGGCAGCAAATAAGTATAAAAGACTAGACATTAAGGGGGGTAAATATGACATTTTGCATTCTCATCAATAACTTAGGAAGCAATAATATCACAAAAATTCCCCTTTTTTCCCACACAGCAACTCCCAATCAATTCTTCCGCACATCTTTACAAAATTGTATAACAAAGCTCAAAACCACACACATTTCACTTTCATCAATTCAGATTAAATCTTCTTAAAAGAATATCAAAGGTAGGAAATGTGTTTAAGAGTTAAAGTGGATAGGTTATTGCAGGTTAAAAGAAAGAAAATCAAGGCTAAATATATGCAGCAAGGCTCAACAGGGTGACTAAGGATAAAAATATATAAGATTGGCTTGAAAAGCTCAAATGGTCCAAAGATGGCCTAAATCATTTCTTCAATCATGCATCGTCCAGGATTTTGCCTCAAGTGATCGTCAAATAGGTTCTAGAATTTTTAGGGACCTCACCAAAAATAGTAAGAAGATTACACACTAAACATCCCTAAATGCTAGAATCAACCACCTCTCCTATTCACTACATGTCATGCAATCATGTTATATCATAGACATTTGACATAATCCAGGAAACACAAAGATTCCACAAACTAACAATAAATTTACAGGCACACATAAACATGAATTCATAAACATAAATTTCATACTTTCCCTCTCCCAACCAAATTCCTACATTGTCTCCAATGTAGCTTTCAACACAAAATAGAGGTGAAAAGGGAAAGAAATGAGTTACTTCCCTTGATTAATAGATTGTAAAGCACTGGAAGTAACTCCATTGAATGTGCATCTCGTAGTCAACATGAAATCTACCTACACAAAAGAAAGAACACATGGTGTCTTAGAATATAATCCATGTTGTCGGTTAGTCATCAAAATGTTTGCAGAAACTAAAACAAACACACAAATTAAAAAAAAATAAAATGAAATCAACATAAAAGTAAATAAAGTGTAGGCAACCTGAAAACAAAATAAAAGCAAATAAAACAACACACAAAATAAAAAACTAAAAATGAAATAAAACACACTGAAGAGAACCCAAACATCAACATGCACAAAACAAAAATTAAACAAGAAAAAACATGTAATATCTAACTAGTATACTTGGGAAATACAAAATGATAGAAAAACATAAGCATATAAGTGAAAGATAATGGGCCCACAAAATTTCTTTACTTTATATACTAAATTCTTTATAATACAAAAGTATCATATACATAAACTCAAAAATAGTGGACAGTGGTGCCATTTCCCTCAGCTTCTCAACGTCCATCCGACCGCTTCTCACCTGTTCCTTGCAAAAACAAAGAAATCAACAGGGTGAGCACTACTTGCTCAATAAGTAAATCTGCTATACTACCCTTCTCTCTCTGTTGGTTAAACTCTGAATTACTTTCCTTACATTACACTTCGTTGTTCTTCTTTGTTCTTTCTCTATTCTTTCTTTATTCTAATCTCTTTGCTCTTTCTTTCTAATTTCTCACTACTCATGTTAGTAGGCATAGTGCCATGCATAGATATGATGCAATGCACAAATACATAGATGATGCCTTTTCTTTTTTGTTTTTCTGTTTCTTATTCTATTTTTCTTTTTTTTTTTTTCTGTACTTCTTTCTTTTTCTCTATTTCTCTTCTTTCTTTCTTTTTGTTCTCTCTTTTCTTTCTTTTCTTTTCTTATTCTTTCTTATTCTTTGCTTTTATATTTTTTCTTTCTTTTCTTTTCTTATTCTTTCTTATTCTTTGCCGATCAGAGTCGGTTGAGGCATGGATTTGGAACCCTGGCTGTGTGAGTGTATTCTTCTTTCTTGGGTACAACCCTCATCACATACACTCTTACGGACTGTACCAATTCTTCTTTCTTATTCTTAGGCCGCTCACTGAAGGTGGCGTGCATGCAAGGAAATTCTTCTTGTCACTCACGGGTTCCCCATCGCAACAACCTCCTCTTCTCTTATATTCTTTTAGAACTCAATGGTCATGTTCTTTTCTTTTCTTTAATAACTTTCTTTTCTTTCTTCTTTAATGTTCTTAATATTCTTAATGTTCTTATATGCATGTAGGCATGTAGATTGGCTCTTCTTATGGTTCGTTCTCAATTCAAATGTTTAAATGCAATGATGCAATATGGCATGTAGGTTCTTTCTCAATTCAAATGTTTAAATGCAATGATGCAATATGGCATGTAAACATGTCATTCTCTACTTTCTCTACCATCTACCAACTCATATCAAGATAATAAATCAATAAACTCATACATGTACTTTTCTATGAAATTTCATCAAACACTTGGTCTACACAGATNAACCAAAAGAGCTAAACAAGTTGGAGAGCTTCTCTCCCTTGTTAACAGGGTCATAGCGCAGAATGGTGGACAACCATACACAGATGAAATATTTGCTGAAGTGAAGGTGAGTTTGTTCACAATTTTTTTTTTTTTTTTTTTTTTTTTTAACTCATGCAGTTCACATTAAATATGTCATGAAATATCTGTATTTAATATGCACAAGGGGGCTATGAAACATCATGAAGAAGTGGAGGTTGATTCCCTAAAGGGATATTCAAAACGAGATGTTGCAGAGCTGAAGGAGCAAATAGAAAGATTATATGAAGATCAACTGAAACAAAGTAGTGAGATGGTAATCTTGTTGATATCTGTTCATTTATTGATTTATCATGTGCATTTGCAGTCAGATATTCTAAGTTGTATACAAGATGGTAAAGGTGTAATTGTGGCATTTCTCTGTACTTATGAAGAACACCGCCCCTAGAAAGATTAAATTTCTTATGCACATCTTAAGAGGCTTTAACTTACCATTTCATTGAAGAAAACACTTTTATATATAAGGCCATATTTTCACATACTCTAATTTAATGACTACAACTAGTTGAATTTTTCATAAAGGTTTTGTAGAGCATTTTGACTTTCAATGAATTAGAAGCAATAAGAGTGTCTGCCGTTGTTTGTTCATATTGAATTGCACCCTATTCCTTATCTTTATTGTCAGCATTGCTATACTGTATTACCTGATCTTTATTGCCAGCATTGATTAACAATGGTTGTAGGATGTCAGTGGTTCTCCAACTGTATAAAATTTAGGGATGCCATTTTACTTGGGAATGGTCTCCAATTGATAAATTTGGCAATGTTTTAGCTAATGTCTTATCTTTTTCATTCATCAATAATATCAGCAGTATTTGTATTATATTATTATTTAAGGACTTGATGATCCACGTTGATGTTTTTAATAGCATAAGTTGAAGCTCATAGAGACAACTAGTAAGCTTGAAAAGCAATTGGCGGAGAAGCAAGCTGCCCGATTAAAGGCAGAAGAGAACACACAGGCAGCTCAAATGAAATCAAACGCTGAAATTCGTAAGCTTAGAGAGAATCTTGAGAATGCGAATAGGGAGAAGGAGAGGCTTCGTAATCAAAGTGGAGGAGGTCGAAGATTGTGTTCTATTCTTTGAACAATCTCAACTATTTGTGAGCACAGTATGTTCAGTCGCGTGAAGAACACAAAGATTATTTTATCTTACCCTGATGTCAATATGTTTATATTGCAAATATTTGTCGTCTTAGCTTGAATATATTGTTATACAATAAAGTTAGAGGTACAAGCTGACATGACATTAGCATGTGGGCCACGGTACTAATCCGCCAAACTAAAACTAAAAAATTTCAAAGCAAAATTTCCCCCAAATTTGGATAACCTTAAATCAAAATCCCTCCCCAAATAACAAAACCCTAAATCATATTCTCTCCCAAATTAAACAACCCTAATCATATTCTCTCCCACCCAAACCATCAAAATTCTAATTCCCCTAATCTAATCTCTCTCTGTCAAAATTCAACCAACCACAAAAAAAAAAAAAAAAAAAAAAAAAGGAGGGAGGTGGGGAAGGAAGCAATTGGAATCGAAGATGGAGATGTTGATAGCATTGATGACCATAGCCGTAGAGTAGCAAAAAAGGAAAAGGGAAGAGGAAAAAGAAAGATGAACTGGAATAGAGAATTTGGCTACCATTCTAAAAAAAGAGCGCAAGAAAAAGTACAACATCTACTCTTTATTTTCTTTGATGTGATTATGATGATACTTGATGCCGCCTCTAATTGTTGCACTTGTATAGTTGGAAGTGTTTCCATTGACTTAATATGTAAAGATAGTCTAAATTTGATATGAAGGTGACATTGTCGCTTTAAAAATTGCTTTAGAATTGAATGTGGTATGTTTTTGGAATCCAACAATTATAGATCTACATAACATGTTTAACCTTCGCAAGTGCAAGATTTGCAATCGCAGCATAGTGCAAAAGTAAGGGTTGATCACACAAAGACTAGAGGTGCTCTCGCGACTAGAACTATGTCCTAATGAGAATGAAAGAGAATTAGAATAAAGAAAACCTATAATAACACATTACAGTAATCTAAATCTAACATATACAAAATCTTACTCTAATCCATCATAATTATTAGACTACATCATCATCAAGCTATCGTTTTCCCCACTCCTTCTAGGGTTCGTGCATCATCGGGTTCAACTAGTACTTTTATATTCAAACTAGTAGTGGCGTATAGCCTAGTCTAAACAACGAAAGAAACCAATTCGCATAGACACAATAAATCTATTCACAAAGCTAATCAAGATAGGCATGGCGTCTCTTGTTTCTAAGGTATTACCGAACCATTCGGAATAACAGTGTTTCCTTCAACTAAACTAGTTAGTGGCATATATAGCCTAGTAGTAATGAAAACCCAGTAAGCACAAGACAATCTTATAGACAATAACCAATCTATACCGAGTAGGCTAAAATCCATCATTCCACACCCACTTGTCTCACACAATCAATTAACTAAGATCAAGGTTGATCAGGCCCTAACATCAACTAAAGATTGAATTAAATGCAATGAATGACTAGAACATAATAGGATAGATCAAACAAATAGATTAAAAAATAAAACACAAGCTTCAATTAGATTACATCAAATCTCTAAAAAACAAAAATACAACATAAAGGAAAAGAAACAACAACACCTAGAACCATAATCATGAAGATAAAGAGGAGGAGAGGAAGAGAAACCTTCTCTCCTCTCCAATCTCCACCTTTCCAAGAAGCCCCCAATGTATTCTCTCCCTAAAATGTGTATGTAAAACCTAACTCCCTAAAAATGGACTAAAACTGCCTTTATTTAGTTTTTAGACAAAATGGCAAACTTGTAAATACTAGTTGCCGAAATTAGGGTTGGAAATGTGACATATTTACATTCTGTGCTGATTGTGCCGCGGCTCACTTTAATTGCACCTCGGCTCGTTTACATCGCAACTCAGTTTATTTGCACCCCGACACGTTTAACGTCATGGCTTAATTTAATTGAGTCGTGATGCAAAGTCGAAATTTCAACTTTTACTTCTTGCCTTGATTTTTCGCACTTGAATGGGTCCGAGATGTCCGAACACAGCAGAAGCAAGAATAATCCATTTTTTTTTTCACCTGAATACCTGAAAACACACAAACACACGTGATTCTGGAAGATAACGAAACATGCAAGAAATCACATCATAAATCATACATTAGACCTTAAATTCCTTATAGTTTCACCCCCAAATTACTAAATAAATCCACATTTCTAACACTAACAACAACCCCCCAACTAGTTTATTGCTAGTCCCTAGCAATGAAAGCTATAAAAAATAAAATCTAACCTAACAAACTATCCTAAACCACTCCATAAGTTATCACGATTGCATTTAGTGTATGCATAAGCTTATAATAACCTAGTAGGTCCCCTAGTGGACAAGTTATAGTCTCATGAGGGTTTTCAACGATGTTTGCCACAAACACCTACAAATCCAACACACAAAATTAAAAAGAAAAACAAAACAAAGATTTCCCAAATCTATCATAAATGTGTCTCATACAAAGCATACACAATAGCAAAAAGAAAAGCAATAATTATCCCCTATTAGGAACATCTAAACATCAATTCGTCTTCATCTCTACTCTCAACCACACAGTCATACCAAAACCATCAATCCTAGCCTTAGAGAAGGTTTCATATCCAACTCCAAAGAGAAAACAAAATTTTTGATCCATAAAAATGAAAACTTGAAACAACTCCATAGGCCTACTTTCAGATCACTTCCACTAATGTAGAACAAATGCACAACTTCAGATCATTAGGGCTTCACCGTTAGGCTAAGTATTGGTTATGAAAGAACATAAGGATTCAAGCAATTAAGAGGAAAAATCTTACAATTCAAAGAAACACAATCACTCAAAACAACTTACCATCTCAAACCCGAAACCCTTTATTTTTTTCTTATTGCATCACTCTCCCACGCACAATTGAATCTATACCCTTTTCAAGCTTCCTTATTGTTTTTTTTCTTTTTTTTTCTCTCTTTTTTTTTCAATTATTTTTAAACACATAACTAGTGTGCTATTGTAGGCAACAAGATTAAAAACCTTCCAACCTAACTACTGAACTGTAAATAGGGTAAGCAAGGTCGATCCCACGAAGAGTGTCTAGCCAAATTTTCGATGATGTGAACAAGGCTGGGGGGGGGGGGGGGGGGGGTTTGAGTAAAACAGAAAACAATCTTAGCAAAAATCAAAACAAAAAAAAAAAAAAACAATTCAAATCGAAATCAATAAATAACGAAAATTGGTCTCAGTCACATCCATCATCAGAATATTACAACTGATCATTGATGCAAAATTAAATCAATTCGTACCTGAATATTCACCATTGGAACTATTTTCCTATCTCTCCTTAATTTAATTAATAAGAAAACAAGCAATCTTAATTAATCTTACCACTAAACAACCCTAGACAACGCTCAAGATTAATCTAGTGGTGCCTTAAGAATTAGAGAAATCGATGAAGCTAAACACTCAAACTCAAGCGGTTGTATTAATTTAGTTGAGTTTTCTTAAGATTACTAATTCCTGACGCAGTAAATTATTAACCCTAATTGTTTCACAAGTTAGAGGGATCAAACAATTACGGATTGATATCTAACTTAGCAGTAGATTGCAACAATTAATAAACTAGTAGGCTTTCTAGTAATTAAACGAAACAATCATAATAGGTATAGAAAAACATCAATACTCAACACGAAAATTGAATAGTAAAGAAAAATAGATATAGATCTCACAGTTTATTGATTTCAAGGCCTCCGTTTCCTTCGACCAAGTTATAAAGTTTAGCTGCTCATGGCCATAAACAAAACTCAAAGAGAAAATTTGCAGAGAAGAGAAAAAGAGAGGCGTGGTCCCTGCCCTAATCTGATCTCTCCCTTAAAATACCAATTCGAATTTAATCTACTCAATCTCCTCAAAAATATTCAATATCTAAAAAATAACACTTATCCTAATCTGATTAACAAAATAAAATAAAGTCATAATAAAATAGGAAAGTGGTGTGTCCAGCTGTAATTTTCTGCAATAGGTCTTCAATCTTCCATAAAAATCCGCCTATTTGAATTGCATGACAAGGCAGAATGTTCCAGAACGTCTAGTGCAGATGCATCAACTTCAAGCTCAATTACAACCTTGATGCAGCGAGTATCTCTCCAAACTCAAAACATTAAATGTTAGATATCTTTCTTCAGTGTTCCACAGCATTTTGAATCATCTCAATCAGAGCTTGGAGAGAGAGTTATGCCAGATTACGAAACAATATCGAAACTGTCCGAATTCACTTATTATTATGTTTTGCAATTAACGCCTCCATTTGCATCCTAAATCAAAATAGAAATAATGAGTACATTTAGGCAGCAAAAAGGATAAAGACTAGAAAAGGGGGTAATATGACATTTTGCATTCTCATCAATAACTTAGGAAGCAATATATCACAAAAATTCCCCTTTTTTCCCACACAGCAACTCCCAATCAATTCTTCCGCACATCTTTACAAAATGTATACAAAGCTCAAAACCACACACATTTCACTTTCATCAATTCAGATTAATCTTCTTAAAAGAATATCAAAGGTAGGAAATGTTTTAGAGTTAAAGTGGATAGGTTATTGCAGGTTAAAAGAAAAGAAAATCAAGGCTAAATATATGCAGCAAGGCTCAACAGGGGGACTAAGGATAAAAAATATATAAGATTGGCTTGAAAAGCTCAAATGGTCCAAAGATGGCCTAAATCATTTCTTCAACATGCATCGTCCAGGATTTTGCCTCAAGTGATCGTCAAAGGTTCTAGAATTTTTAGGGACCTCACCAAAAATAGTAAGAAGTTACACACTAAAATCCCTAAATGCTAGAACAACCACCTTCCTATTCACTACATGTCATGCAATCATGTTATATCATAGACATTTGACATAATCCAGGAAACACAAAAGATTCCACAAACTAACAATAAATTTACAGGCACACATAAACATGAATTCATAAACATAAATTTCATACTTTCCCTCTCCCAACCAAATTCCTACATTGCTCCAATGTAGCTTTCAACAAAATAAGAGGGGAAAAGGGAAAGAAATGAGTTACTTCCCTTGATTAATAGATGTAAAGCACTGGAAGTAACTCCATTGAAGTGCATCTCGTAGTCAACATGAAATCTACCTACACAAAAGAAAGAAACACATGGTGTCTTAGAATTAATCCATGTTGCGGTTAGTCATCAAAATGTTTGCAGAAACTAAAACAA